TCAGCAGGCTCTGGAGTGCTCCCGAGGGGTTTGGTGCCCACACACTGCTCAATCGAGGCCTTGAGCTCCATTATCACTGGTAAGGGGGGAATGCGGCTGCAGCGGGGTGGCAATTCCTTTCCCCCAGCCCCAACACACAAGAGCCAGCTGCAAGAGCCCATCTCCAGGGCTCAGGGTGGGACATTGGCACACACAGCCTTCACCCACCAGGTACCTTAAGCCCTCCTTCTGCTCACACATCAAAGTTAGGGCAGCAAGGAACCCCCCCCCCACCTGCCCCAGCTCAGGATAGGGAACAGCAAGGGTCTTAGTCACAGCTCAGCCACACAGATCTCCTCCAACACGAGCCACAGAACAGAGAGTGCCTCCAGCTCTTCTCCTCCCCTCCAACAGCACACTTTCAAGCCTGCGTCATACATTGCCACAGGCACTGAAAGTATTTCAGGTCCTGCAGAGCAGGGTCAGGGACCGAGAGGGGTGGCGATGCTCATGCACAGGCTGTGTTGCCAGGCCCCAGTTTGCCACAGCGCAGAGGAGAGCAGGAAACAACACCCAAGCCAGGACACACATCAGGAGAGACTGACACCTCTTACAGCTGAGCCCCAGGACCCCACCACCCAGCCTAGGCTCCTGAGCACCACTCTTAGGACATTGTTGCCCTCAGGGGAGGATCAGATCCCATGGCAGAGCCCAACACAGGGATCACATGAAGGTGGCTGGGAGAGGTCAGGGCAGGATCCCTGGCTTCAGCAGGCCTTTCCCCAAAACATCCCACACAGGCCACTTCCAGGGAGGTCTCTTACCTTGGTAGAACTGGGTGTTGCCGAGGAAGAGGGTGCTGTTGAGAATGGCCAGTACCCAGCAGAGGGGCAGCAGGTAAAGGATGCAGACAGAGCCCAGCAGTGCCCCATAAAACCTGGGAAGGAGCAGCAAGACACTGCTGTCACAACAGAGCACCTCACACCACACACAAGTCCCCTTCCTTCATCTGGTCCGCCACCCGCCCTCTCCAAGGACCAAACACATCAAACGCAGGTCCACAGGCTTGGCCAGGTCCCTCTTCCCTCTGAGCCCACCGCAGGATGCCTGACCCGGTACTACTCACTGGGAAGAGACAGTGGGGTTCTCCCAGTACAGTACACGGTACACCGCCTCGCAGCTGCAGCACATCCCGCTCAGGAGCCCCTCCAGCTGGATCAGGCTGCGAATGAGACCTCACAATCACAAAAAGGCCCCACAAATCCATACCCTGGCTCCCCCACACTCATACGCTTTACGGTGGCCAGGCTGGCAGGAGCCCAGGCCCTCCGCGGCCCCAGAGGAGCCATCCCAGCAGCAGAGGCCCCAGGGGCCCCACAGCCGGGAGGGCTCCGGAGACTCACAAGCTCTTGACCTGGGCGATGGCCTCCTGCCGGGAGAGCTGCACCCTGCGCAGGTCCTCCCGGCGGACGCTGTGGTACCTCCTGCGCACCAGCTCTGGCTCCGAGGGCCGGGCCCGGCACGTCTCCTGCAGGTAGCCCAGCAGGGCCGGCACCATGACCAAGAGGGCGAGCACTGAGTACCAGGCGGCTGGAAGAGGGGGGACAGAGTCAGCCCGGGGTGCCCGGGGAGGGCACGGGCCCTGTCCCCCGCCACGCACCTTGGCCGAGGGTGAGCAGGAGGAAGTTGAGGCCGAGGCAGGCGAGGAGGGAGCACCCGGGCCGCTGCCACCTGCGGAGAGGAGGGAGGGTGAGGGACGCGAGGCG